CAATCGCACACACACACACACACACACTCACACACACACACATACACCGATAATTGTTCAAAAGTTTAGGGTCAGTAATTTTTTTTTTAAAAGAAATTAACACTTTTATTGATGCTGAAAATACAGCTGCGCATCACAGAAATACATTACAGTTTAACAGATATTCACTTAGAAAACAGCTGTTTTAAATTGTAATAATATTTCACTGTTTTTACTGTATTTTTGATCAAATAAATGCAGCCTTGCTGAGCAGAAGAGACTTCTTTGAGGAACAGTAAAATATAATACCGACCCCATATTTGGAACAGTAGTGTGTGTGTGTGTGTGTGTGTGTGTGTGTTATTTTAAACTTCTGAAACGTGATCTCATAGAGTTTTAGAGGAAGATGAATCTGTGTCACTAAAGATGATTGCAGAATCAAACGGGAATAGAATCTTCTAGCGTCTGAAGGAAGGATGAAAGCTCTGTGCTCTGGTCTTTATTCACGCAACAGCAACATTTAAAAAGGGAAACGTGAAATGACCTCATCGCTTTCACTTCCTCCATCAGAACCTCAGCATGTGACATCTGCCGGTGGCTTCATGAAGGTCCAGGGAAACTGAATCATGTTTATGATGTTGATTTAAGCAGTAACACAAGCAGTTTCACTGTCGCTGAGATCATCTCAAGAACATCAGCTTGAGTCCATGAGGAGCATCGTGTTCATCTGGTCAGTGGATGGTGAACTGATGCTCTCTGATGGACAGATGTATTTTTTTAAATTATATTTTCATTTGTGAATGTAGTCTGGTCTTTGAAGGTTTCAGTCTTGGCTAGGCCTCAGACTAAGAGGACTTGGGATTTTATTGAAGATGGATTTAGTTTTTTTTTTTTATATTTAAAAGTATCATTTTTTTAAAATCACATTTCTATATTCAAAATTTTATATATAAAACCTTCATCTCACAATATTATTCACGCAGTTGTAATTGTACCAATTCGAATGCAACTTCTGTTCCACCTCTGCAGTGCAAAGATGAATTTATTGGTTCATTTGATTGGTAACAGCTCTGTATAGTGCCAGGTCTTGTCTTGGTCTTGACTAAAACACTGGAGTGTAGCTCATTACATTAAAGGGGTCATATGATGCTGCTAAAAAGAACATTATTTTGTGTATTTGGTGTAATGAAATGTGTTTACAACTTTACAGATCTTCTTTATGCACCAAGAGCTTGTAACACTCCAAAGAGAAAGGAACAATTGAAATCGCATCATATGACCCCTTTAACACTCATCTGTGGTCACTTCCTGTTCAGAGCTATTGCAGTAAATCCACGGATCCTTTTTTGTGGTCAGAGCTGTTGCAGCACACACACAAACACACACACACACACACACACGCACGTGCGCACTACACACACACACAGGTTTGTTTTTGTGAAAAGTGGGGACATCCCATAGGCGTAATGGTTTTTATACTGTACAGACCGTATATTCTATTGCCCTACACCAACCCTACCCCTAAACCTACCCCTCACAGGAAACTTTGTGCTATTTCAGATTTTCAATACACTCCATTCTGTGTGATTTATATGCGTTTTGAAAAGTGGGGACATGGGGTAATGTCCTGAAAAGTCACCTTCTCCTTGTAATACCTATGTCATACCTTTGTCATTATACAAATTTACAAAAACGCACACACACACACACACACACACACACAAAGAGACAGAAAGATCCAGCTAAACAATGTCACACACTGAATAAAAGCAGAAGTGCATTGGCCGTGTCTGAAACGACGCGCTTCATGTGCTCTCCTGTGAAGTTCACGAGATCTTTGGCTGTTATCGCACGCTTTATCGCGAGTGAATCGTGGAAGTGTGTTTGATGCTCAGATCCACCAGCAGAGGGCGAGCGCAGCGCGTCTATAAAGGACCGTCACTCATCATGAGCTCATCAGAAACTACTCTGAGTTTCTTCACCTGTCAATCATTGTGTATATTTGGCTCATCTGACATCGGATTGGCTGATGTGTCTTTAGTAGGTGGGATTTGAAGAGCACATGTGTTTGTGTTTGAAGTCAAGAGGAAGTTAGCAAAAAATGATTACACAACAGTTTTTTTTAATACCATAACCAACTTTGGCTACAGACTTAACCAAAGCCTAAAATAAAATTCTGTCTGACATTTTAGAAGTGAATAATATAATGCAGATCCTGTACAGCTGATCTGAAACGATGTGTGAAACCATGTTTGCTCCCAGTTTTGAAAACATTATTTCTTAATGTTCTCTGAACGTCCAAAGCCTCCAGTTTCTTAACGTAAAAACTTTTTTTCTTGGTTATGTGAACACTAAGGAAACATTCCATTTGGGAACGTTACTTTTAAATGTTCTCTGAACAAGTTGTAACATTTGAAAAAGTGTGTGTAACACAAACGTCCAACTAAAATGTTTCACCAACATTCCATGAATGACATATAAATAATAACTAACATTTTGAAAACATTATTAAAGAGGAGATAACTTTGAACAAACATTCTAACTGGAAGAACGTTTATTCATAACTTTGAAAATACCTTGAAATACATGTTTCTGTTAGCTGGGATAAATGTGAAAAGCAGTACACAAATAAACCTGTCTGAATTTAAATATAGTCTCTTGGTATCACTTTATCTTGCAGTCCTCTTCCACATGTACATACTAAGTAATTACAATAACTAGGTAATAACCCCTAAACCTAACCATACCCCATGTAGTTACCGTATATTACAGTACATTCTTATGTAAGTACATGTACTGTAAAATAAAAGTGCAACCATCCTCGTTTTTTCCCTTGGGTTTCCAGAATGATAGATATCAGAAACACAGTTTTACCCCTAAACTTCCCCTTTAATGTAATTTAGACATTACTTGGTTTCCTTATCAAGCCTCGTACATTATTAGAAGGTTTTACTATCACTATCAAACATGTGCACACAGAGCTGAGAAGCGTTCGAGTTTCACACCGATCACATCACTAACACACTCAGGAACACAGCAGGAGTCACGCGTGCTGCAAACATGAGGGTTAACAGTCTTCAGGAGTTAAAAACAGCGGGTATAATTAAAACAATCCTCGTTCAGCTTCTTCTGAAAAAGCTCATGAGTCCTCTCTTCTTCTTTTTGAGGCTGTCCTGCGTCTCGTCTCTGGTGAGTGTGTGTTTAGACGCGTCGTCTGAAGGGTTCGCAGTGTTTTCTTCAATAACCTCGTCGCTCGTCTGGTCCTTCTTCCCTTTCTTCCTCCGCTTTGTGTTAAAAGTCAGTGTCTTGAGTTTCTTGGACTCTTTCTTCTCGGGCTGAGAGGGAACAAGTGTGAGGTTCTCCAGCTCTTCCGTGGGATTCTCCGGCTCCGGCTCTGGCTCCGGATCGGGCGGCTCCATCTTACTGAAGAAGTCCTGCAGCGTCTCCGTGGGTCCCGGGATCTGTCCGAGCGCTAGCAGGTATTTGGGATTGTGGTATTTGTGTGCCGGCACTTTCAGATCTCCACGCGTCGCGTCTCCGAGATTGACCTGGAAGCGAGAAGTGGCCGCTGCGGGGCGTTTGGGCACCGCGGCCCGAGACAGCGTTCCCGTTTGGGGCTTACTGATGTGAAACTCCTTAAAGAGGTCCAGTTTGTCTGAGATGGCGTACAGTTGTCGGAAATCGTTATCGTAGAAATCCACCACCTGCCCCGACATCACCGTGATCATGTTTCTGTCCATTCGAGAAGAGCTCCAGGAGAAACTGCAGAGACACCAGCACAGCATGAGATATGAAGACGCTTCTGTCAGACTGTAAGCAGGTAACTCTCGCTCACCTGTACGTTCCAAACATGACTTTATCTCCGTCGATGAGCATGTACTTGCTGTGGACGTTTCCCGGGATTCTCCCCACGGACAGATTCAACCCGATGCCCTTTACGGTCCGAGTCCGGACGTTCTGACGGAAACACAAGCCATCAAACATCGGAAATCGAAATTAGCTGAAATTATAGCTAATGTCTAAGTGGCCGGGTTTTGACTAGACCCATATGGCAAAACTAATTTTTTTGTGGCCAAAAAAACAAAAAAAAAACAAAAAAACAATAATAATAATTTTAAATATATTTTTTAATATTTTAATATAAGTTAAATATACATTTACATTTAGTCATTTAGCAGATGCTTTCATTCAAATGATGACAATAGAAGCAATCAAAACCAACAAAAAAGCAATAATAAGCAAGTGCTATAA